TACCTCTAACATCTCCACCTAAACTTTGAAATTTATACTATTATATACTAGTTTCTGATTCCTTCTAAAGTTTTTTTTCTCCTCTTTTAATTTCAGTAGCCACTTGCATTTTAGTGGCATTATCATCTTGTTTGGAGGTGGGTGAATTGATTTAAGAAAAAAGTTACTATTCTGATGTGCCTTCAGATTTTGATGTCACATTTTCCACTTTAATATTTTTTTTCTTTTCATAATTTTGCTGTGCATTTTTTACAATCTGGAAAATTGAGTACAACCTTTACTTATTTCAGCTGTTAGCAAATATATATTGCTGCCCCACTTAGACTTTTTCCAGTTCCCATTTTCTAGAGCAAGAGATTTTGATCATAATAGATATAGAAAAAACAGTTGGTAAACTGCTTGGATTTTCTCATTTCTCACCTCAGCCTGATGTTAGGCCATGGCTGCTAGTAAAAGAAACTTTGAAACATGATAAAGTAGGCCATTTATTTTTCAGTGGATTAGTATGTGGCACTTTGTCAATAATCCTTTTCTTGATATTTCTTTTCAAAACTGTTGTTGTATTTTTTGTTTCTTAAATTAGTAATTAAAGGTCAACTTCACAATCTTTTTAGATTAAATTTCAGTTTCAGGGCTGATAAGTGAACTAAAATGTATCAGGTTTGGAATTGTCTCTTCAGGTACCAGGCTAAAAAGTATTTTGATTTGTAGAGTTTCCAAATAGTGCATGGGTCTCTCTCTCTTGCTCACTCCCTACTCTCTCTCTTTGAAAATAATGCCTTCTATGTTATATTTGCCTCTAACACAAGAGGCAGATGTTGGTGGTATGGCAGTAAAAGTGAAAATTTTCTATTAATAATCAATAATTTTCCTTATTTTGTCTCATTTTGGATAGCAGCTAAGTGGCAGTCTAGTAAAATGGTACCTGATGTGAAAGTGCATATGAAATGGAAGTGTCCTTCAATTCCTCTGTGTGCAGAAGATTGTACCTATCAATATTCATCCATGCATGCTGAATGTTTACAGAGACCAAACAGTGGATGTGAGCATGGTTGCTTAAATACAGCACAGTAAATTAAGCATGTTTTCTATTCAGTTTCACATGGAAGCAACTCAGTCTATCCTGTTGTCATAGGCTGTTTACATGACCTTAAATAACACTGGAAAAGAAAAACACATGCATCTGATAACATTAGATAACCTGTCACAAGATCTGCATCATGTGGCACTAATTGCATTAGTAACTAAAATATAATTTAAGAAAAAAGTTAATCAGCCTGAATAATAATCTTGCAAGAAATTTTTAAAAATTAAGAAAAACAAAAACAGTCTTTCAGATTTCCATGTCTTGTCATTTGCAAAAAAAAAAAAAAAAAAAACACAAGTTAGATGTGTTATATAAGATGATTCCAATGCATAAGATACTTGAATCTTTTATTTCTCTTCTTTTTTTTTTTTAATTTCTAAGTGTTGAACTCCTATGTAATCTCAATCCTCAAATATGACAGTGAATATTAGAAAGTTTCCTCCTGGATGAAAACTGGAGGCAACAAAAATATGGTTCTACAGAAGGATAATGAGAATACTATGGATGGAGCATCTAAACAATGGAGAAGTTTTAAGAAAAGTTGAAACCACAAAGGACACTGGTACTCAGAATCAGAAAGAGACAGATGAAATTTATTGAACATTTAATGAGGAAGAAGGGCTTGGAGAATTTGACACCCACAGCACATAATGAAGGCAAAAGGTAGAGGGAGGGGGTAACTGGTCACCTACTTGACTAGCTGGTGTGAGTGGGTGGGAAGGATTGCAAAAGGACAAATGTTATTAACAGCTGCAAAGTATAGGAAGTTCCTGAAGCGATACAGTATGTAGATAATGATTCTGGAACACATTCAAAAGAAAATAATTAGGTTGATGAGTTAAATAACTTTGACCAATTCTATATTGAGATTAAAATAGGTTTATATATCAATGTAAACACAAAAAATATAACCTTGAGAAAGTTTTTTTAATTTTTTTTCATTTAGAGAAATAGTTTAAAAAATGTGTAAGCAAAAACTTTATGGTTTAATATATATATATATATATATATATATATAGGAATCCCACTTCCAATCAAAAACTACTATACAGCACAACAAAATAATCATGCCTTCTCAGTGACACAAGACAGAAACTGGGTCTGTTCTGTTGCTAGAATTCATTATATGATCTTCTTCAAAACTGTAGAAGAAAACGCATGTATTAACAATACACAATATGTCACAAGATGCATGTATGTTGATTCATAGTAAGCATGATGAAATTTAAAACATAGAACAAAAATTTAACATTTTTTTTTCTTTTGTACTGTGAGTTTTATTATTCAGAAAAAGGAAAAAAAAAATACTAAGTTCACTGGGAATTTAGTAAAAGGAAAATCTTGTATATTTTTTTTTTTTTTATTTTATTTTAGTTCAGTTATTCTTGCTTTTTGATTGGTTGCAAATCAGCTGCTTTTTTTCTTCTTTTTTTTGCCATTACTTGACATACCATTATTCATATAAATGAACACATTTCTAAAATATAGTTTTTGCAAAAGTTTTCTTGCCTTGAAAAGACAGAATCTGAGTGAACTTAGTAAAACAGTAACTAAAAAAATTAAAAAACTCCCAAAGAAAACCTTTTATTAATAGTAAGGATTTAATAATATATGTCATTTTCAGTGACATTTGTGGGATGGCAGCTTGGAATGAGAAATTGGAAAGCAGTTTGAATTTTAGCTGAGTTCATTATATTTACTTACAAATCCCCTTGAATCCATCTCCCTCATCTTATAGGTTAAATAGGACTTTTATCTGGAATTCTTTTGATGGTGTTTGTATGTATTAAATAATTTAAGGTTCTCTGGGACCAGGATTGCTCTTGACCCTTAAACAACAGGTATCATTACTTGGTTTCATTGGAAATCTATGGGTATCATCAATTGATGATTTAAACTTTTTTCTAATGACATAGGTACTATACATTAATGATTTGGCTATAAATGATTACTTGACAACTCTCAGATTCATGAATTTACTATTTACTAGGATTCATTTTTTTTGGAGTATTTGCTTGAAAATAAATATAAAGTCAGTGCTATATCTGCATGCATGGTTATTGAAGAGAAAAGAGGCAAAAAATGGTGACCACTGTATAAAAGATGCGCAACTCCATCATGAACAAGTTGCTTCAAGGAGCAACATACTGTTAAAATATATTCAATTTAAGGATGTCAAATTTTTCCTTTTTTTTTCTTCACTTTATTTTTATAATTAATTGAAAAATTAAGATATATTTTTGTTGTGGGGGGGGTATGTTCATTTGACAGGCATGTTTGTGCAACGTTTTCATGAGATTTAAGATTTAATGGATTTTAATGAGGTTAAGCATCAGTACCTAAATTTTATCTGGGCTTAACTCTTTGAATCCTCCGACAAGCTTTCATAATCTTACAAATAGTTTTCCTATTGAAATTTTGTGCCTGATTTCATGCATAGTTACTGTGAATACAAGTCCTACAATACACAAGCTTGCTCAATGACTATTGGATGAATAACCTTAAAGGAAATTGCCTGTTCATACATGTACAGTGCAGTAAGGTTCTCTCAAAGTTGCATCAAGGCTGCACAACTGGTTCTCAAAATATCTGAATTCTTTCTGCACAGGCCTTATAAAAGAATAGAATTTCCTGACAGTTAAATGTTATTTCCTTTCCTCTTCTGTGCATTTGCTTTTCTATACAGAAATTTGGAAATTATAAAAAATAAATCACATCAACACTGTTATTCATGAAAACTTTCATAATTTTTTATGTTTTAAGAAAATGTAACTTAGAAAACAGTGACTGTTGAATGGTTTAAAATAAAAGCTGATTGGGCTTTTCAGGATTTAACACGTCTCCTAGCCTTGTCACCTGATTGGCTTGCATTAAACTACAATTGTCACCTGCCTTTCAACTTCAGATTAGCTATTTACCTACTTTTAAAAAGAATTGCATAATCACTTGATTTGCTTGTGAGCACTTTCATGTTTTAATCTCAAGGTGAATTTATCCTTGATTTTTATAAGGATTTCCAACTGCAAACAATTTCTCAATTTCTATTTGTACTTTGAACCTTATCCATGAGTTTTATAAGAATTATATATATAAAGTTATGTTATGTAACAGGTTTTCCTCTTTGAAATGGAGGTTTCGAACAATGCATTGATAATGGAACACTTAAAAAAAACTTTCTTTTTCTTCAGTAATGCTTGAAACTTGTTAAGCAGGTGGCTCATGACTTTGTTGTCGCTTGACTCTCCCCCACCCCAGCCTGTACAGAAATCTACTTTTCATTTGAAGAAAAATATTATTTAACTAATATTCCCTAGCTGTACCTGTGAAAATTTCATGGTTTCCTTATTTGAATTTTCTGGTGTATCATAATATTCAATGAATAAATAAGCTCCTTATGAATTTCTTGAACTAAATATGGTAATAACCATCATAAGTATGAATGCAGGTCATTATTTAAAGAAGTAAGAGGGTACAAATGAAAAGATTCAAAATTTACAAGATTTTCCATTTTCTCTGAAGTGGATGTTAAATATGTGAGCATTATTGCCTCTATTCTCTTTCAACAATGTTTCTGATGCCTTTTCTGTCATTTGTTGTGATCAAGATGGAATAGTCCATTATTTATAAGGTATTGGCAGAGTGGAACAAATAGAATTATAATAGGATAATCATTTTCAGAGCAAAAATTTGGACAACAGAAGTGAGATTAGTTACTATGAACAAAAATTTCAATTCCTTTTTAAAGCATTTTTGATCACATGGGATTATTGTCATCTAATAACTTCAGTCTCTTATTAGTATAATTATCAATAGAACATCTGTAGTGGCTATAGTATTTGTTTTTATACCATAAAACTGGGCAACTCTTGTAGCTATTTTTATTGATCATATTTTGTCTCTAGGTTTTAAAGCTTATGGCCATGTCACATTCAAACACCAGTTCTCATATGATCACCAAAGTTAAGCAATGTTGAGCCCGGTCAGTACTTAGGTTGGTGACCACTTGGGAATACCAGGTGCTGTAAACTTGGATGTAATGTAATGAATAACAGCTTAGAATTGAAAATTGGGGAGCTGTTCAAATTTCAGTCAGGTTTGTTATATTCACTTATGCACAAATAACTTTGGGAATGGTATGAATCTGCCTCCAGCTATGATGTAATTAATAGGACTTGTAACAGTAAATCATTATCTCCCAAAAATTTTTACAATCTAATAAAAAAAAAAAAATATTTTATGACTTTAAATAACCTGCAGAAGGTTGATAAACCATGAAAATGAAGTCAGGTATTCATTAGATTTTAGAGAAATTCATGAAAAATTAAAAGCCTTTAAAAAAAAAAAAAATCCTAAACAAAAAAGTAACAGGAAAATTCAAAAGCTGCTTTAATTTTATTAATTTACATTGGTATGTACAAATGTTGAAAATTTCTAATTTATCTTTGCTTTTAGAAAATACTGTTGCTATGGTAGCATAGTGCATATTTTCTTTCAGTTCTGTCTAAATTTTAATCCTTATACAGGCTGGGCTAAAAGTAGGTATACACTTTACAGTTTTTTTACATTTTATTATATTTACATTTATTTATTACAATTACATTTGTTTAACACTGCTTAATCTCATAAGTACTTGAAATGTCCTCCTTCAATCTTGTAAAATTCCTCGTACCTCTCCAGAACACTGTGACTCACAGTATGACACAAATTCTGATCTACATCAATGTCAATAAATACTTCCAAGATGAACTCCTTTAATTCGTCTACTGTCTGGGGATTTTTCTTATAAATCTTATTCTTTACTATGCCCCCCCCCTCCCACTTAGTTTATTGGTGTTAAGTCAAGTAAAGGTGGTGGTCATTCAATGCTTACACCTCATTCAATCCAATGTTGTGGGAAGGTTTGGTCCTCGTAGCCCCTTATTGCCAAAGCATAATGAGGAGTTGCCCCATATTGTCGAGAAAAAATTTGGCAAAATTAGCTCTGGTCCTGAATTGTGGCACTACCATGTTTAAAAAAAAAATCGCATCAGTATCTAAATAGTCAAACAGCTGCATACATACTTTTGGCCCACTCTGTATATAATGTGAAGATTTTTTAGGTTCAAGATTTGATTTCAAAAGAAAAAAGTACAATATAAGATGTAAAAAATACAATATTTATTTTTACTTTGTTGTTGAGCACACCTGCTTTACATCTATTTGAGGCAAGAGGTAGCACCTGCCAAAGTGGCATTGTCTTCACACCCTACTGTAAGATTCTTTTAGATTCCTACAGAGCAAAGGTAAGCAAGTTAGTCTCAAACACAGTAAAATATTTTCCAGTATTTTTTGTCTTGCATTTCATATTGAATTGAATTTTTTTCTTCACTTAATGCTTTACTTATATATATATATATATATATATATATATATATATATATATATATATATATAAAGACATTTTTTATGTTTATATGTTCTTTTTATAGATACAAATATTTAAGTAAATGCTCTGTTTATAATAAACAGTATTAACAACATTTACCGGCCTCAGAAATTTTCGTAGAAACTATGTGTCCTTTGACAGGAATCAAACCTGTATCCTATATGGAACTGTCATATAGCCTGATGTGTTTTACCGAATTAATCACAGAGGAGCATTTCGGTTAGCAAGGTCGATTTTACTGTAATGGAGAATTGTAGTTTAAAAATGGTAAAATCGACAAAATTGTTAAATTTTAAACAATCAATTTAGATGTCAAAACAAAGTCTTAGTTAAAATTTTAGGTAGTATCAATGATTTATTGAAGTTATTTGATGTATTCTAAAAAAACTACTGTTTGAAATTATTAGGCAAAACCAAATAATCACATTTTACTTCAGTAAAAAGGTAATAAAATCATCAAATATTGAAAACACATATAATAGAACAAATAACAAACATATATAATAAGTATTTGAATCCTTTACATTTTCATATAGTGATCCTTCTTGTTTATAACTGCCAGTAATCTATTATCCATTGATTTAAAAATTTTTTTTTTTTTTTACTTTAGCAGGTTCAATTTCTGACATGTTAATTTCCTATGGGCCTGCTTTGCTGTTATATTGTTTGCCACCTTCATATAATTTCCTCTTCACAATTGAGCATAGATTCTCAGATTCAGATCAGGACTTGATGGTGACCATTCCATTATCTTCTCTTGTAAATCTTTTATGCTCAAAGAATTCACGGGTAAGCTTTGTCATACATAAATACACACTTCACTTTGAAACTGTGTAACTGGGACTTGTACTATGCAAAGAAAATCTTGTTCATAAAATCACAATAGTTAGCACTGTTTAGTTTAACTTGGGTATCTTTATGAGATCACTAAAAATAGAGCATAGCATGATGAAGAAGACGCCAAACTTGACAAAAACAAAATTTTAGTGTCTAAGTGTTTATGTTATTATTGAGAGGAAAGATCAAAGTATTTTTTAATTATTTAAAAATTTTTTCCTTTTTAGAACATTCTATATTTTGATTAAAAAAACCTTGTTTCTCTTTGTGTCACCGGAACTAGTAAAATAACATAAAATTTTAGCGCATATTTTTCTGTATGACAGACATTAATTTTGAAAGTCTTGCAAAAATAAAAATAATTGTTGGATTTTAATCAAACTTTCAGAAACTATTCACAAATGATGGAACTTATAAATATGTTTTTTCTTTTTTAAAGTCATGGCAAAAATTTTTTTTTACATATATATTACCGCCCCGGAAGTATCATGTGTGCAATAAAAAAAAAACGTCACGTGGATTGAGTTTCTGTCTAGTATTTAACTTAAATACTGAATTTTTAATACAATTATTTGTTATTTCTTTAATTATAATATATTTTTACATTTAAGTTGTTAAAATATTATAAGATTAGTTAAAAACTGCATTCAGTTTCGTAAATATCCTTTTGAGATATAGATTTATTTTTGCGAAACGTGTGGAGAAGTTAATTTGATTTTTCAATTTCAACTGAGAAGGGTACCTACAAGTATCAGTATCATCTTTATGAAATTTAAATTTGTATTTTATGTACATTTCTGATAACCTTTCTTTAGAAAGGTACCTATAAATTAATTAGATACCTTTCTTATGAAATTTAATCTCACTCTCAACAATCTTATTTTAATTTCTTTATAATATATTTTCCATAAAACATTGTAAATCTAAAGGTGAAAGCTAAGTACAAAAAAATAAAAAAAAATTAGAGCACTGAAAGTTTTCCTTAAAAATAACGAGGTAAGTAATTTGTTCACTTAAATCTAAATAACTTCACATCTCTCCTTCCGTAGAAGGAATTATCCTCATGTAAGCTATCAAAATGTCATGAATGTCTTTCGTCACTTTGTCAAGTGACACGAAAGGTTATGACAAGTTTTGTTTTATATTCAAACTATGTCTTTTCAGCACAGAAACTAAGTTAAGCTTGGTTCAAAATATTTTAAATAAACATTATAATTTCTGATTTTCTTAAAATAAGTTTTGAAAAAAATTATAATTGATTTTTAAAAGAATTTCAAACTGAGATTTTCCTTTTTTTTTTTTATTTTTTATAAATTGGAAAAAAATGGCTGACATGATCAATTATCTGTCAATTTTGCTGACTAAAAAAATAAGATTTTTAATGAAAATTTTGGACGTACTAGGAACGATTAAAAAATGTAAAAAAAATACCCCCAAAATACTTTGATCTTTCCTCTTAATAATAACATAAATATTTAGATGATAAAGCTTTGTTTTCGTCAAGTTAGGCGTTTTTTTTTGTCATGCTATACTCTTTTTAGCGATCTCCTGAAGGTACCTTGTTTAACTCCTTCATCAATTTTGAATGATCCAATAATGATTTGGTTGACAATTCCAGCACATATAACACTACCACTTCCTTGTTGTCTTCTTTTAGCCACAGGCATATCTGAATTGGATGAAAACCATCTTTTGGCCATCCATCAAATGTCATTTGAGATTTGTCTGTGAAAATTACTTTAGAAAAGTCAATTTTCATGTATTTCTTGGCCCAATTTTGACGCTTTAAAATATTTACTTTAGTGAGAGGAGGTTGCTTAGGAGTTTTTTTTTTTTTACAGATCCTGATTCACAAAGTATTTCTACACCTTTTGTACTTCTTGACCCCCTTCAGTTCCAGCATTTTCAAAGATCTGAGTGCTGGTCAAAAGTGGCTATTTCACTATAACTCATTTTAATTTACATTCATCTCAAGGAAGCAAGTGCTTAAAGCCTTTTCCTTTACTTCAAGTTCTCAACTTTGTTACTTTCTGTTTTTCAGCAGTTGTTAAATTCTTATGTTTCAACATATATTATGGACAAAAAGAAAAACTGTTTTTATTAAATTTCAGAAGTCTTAAGTTAATTTGCATATTAATTTCAGTCAGTCCATTTTTGTAAATTCCATATATCTCAAAAACTAACCATTAAAAATGACAGATAATTTAGTTAAATATTTTACTAAGGGTAAAAATTGACAAGTTTAAATTTGACAAATATTGGTTTAGAACTTTTTGAGTTATTGAGGTTTATTTGATTTGCATATTAATTTCAGACAGACTGTATTGTTTACTGATCAATAAGGATTTCTTTATTGAAATATTTAATTTTTTTATTTTTTTATTTTTTTTTATTTTTTTTTTTTTTTAGCAATGTGATTATTTATATTGTATATGTAAAGTTTCAGCATAATAATGGCTGAAATGTTTTAAAAATTGTTTTGGTAATTAAAACTCATTTTTACAAAATTTGTTTGCCTCATATAAAAAGTAGACATAAAGGGTTCTTTTGCTGTTGCTACATCTTGTCACCAATTTGTCTATTTTTCTTGAAAAATTTTTTTTTTTTTTTTTTTTTTTTCATGAATTCTTAGAACTAACATCCTTATCTTTATTTGTATGTCATTTCAGCAGATGCAATCTTGAGCACTCATTGGGTATATAGTTTATTCTATAATCTATTTTCTCCCCCTCTCTCTTTCTCTCTCTCTCTCTCTCTAATTCT